AAATCACCTCCTTCAGATTAGAGAACGTAGCACAAGGGAATTTTACACCTTCATTATTGAGATGCCGTACATATCTAGTCTTTCTTATTTTCTGTCTTGGTTAGAGAAAGGGTGAATTTTCAGAATATGTACGTGGGAGAAAGAGGTGAAAGAAGACAGCTAGGATGGTATACCAGGGTTGAGCTCCTGAAGCTTCACATGCACCTGGCTTAGAGAAAAAGAAAATATTTAGGTGAAGCCTACATAACAATCAATGATAGTGGCAGCAGACGACTAGGTGGTGTGGTGAAGTTGGACTTGGAGTAAAAAGCCTTGAGTCTGAATCCTGCCTCAATCATGTCCTAGTTGTGTGACCCTGGGGAAGTTACTTAATCGCCCTCAGCCTTAGTTTCCTCATCTATAAAGTGGGGATAACGACAGCACCTACTTTACATCTCATCTGAGGATCAGATGAGATGGCCTATGGAAAGTGCTCTGTAAACCTTAAACTACCATATAAATGCTGGTAATTATTAATGTTAACAGAATAACATGTGAATATCCAAGTCAGGCTGCCTTTTGTGAGATTCATAGGGCAAAATGTTTTGAGGAATGTGAGAGGAAACAATCATTCATCTAGAGCTAGAAGGGTTCATCTAGTCCAGGGGTTCTTAATCTTTAATGTGTCAGGGACCCCTTTGTCAGTATGATGAATATGGACCCCTTCTGAGGATAATGTTTTTAAATACTTTAAAGAGATGATAAATTTCCACTGGAGGTTAGCAAAAACAAAGATAAAATGTTTTTCACCCAAGTTCATGGACCCCCTGAAATCTAGTAGACCTCAGACTAAGCAGCCTTGATCTAATCTAGGGCTGGGGAACCTGAGACTTTTTAGGTCCTCAGGTGTGGCCTTTTGACTGAGTCCAAGTTTTACAGAACAAATCCTTCTATTAAGGGGATTTGTTCTGTGAAGTTTGGGTTAAGTCAAAGGGCTGCACTTGAGGACCTAGAGGTGGCCTTGAGGCTGCAGGTTCCCCACCCCTGATTCTAGTCCAATACCTCTTTAATAGATAAAGAAAATGAGGTCCATGGAGATTAAGGTATTTTTCCACTTTCACATAAGTAGTAAGCATTACAAGCAGGTTGTCTGACTCCAGAGGCACTATTCTATGCACTATACCATGCTGCTCTGAGCAGCTTATAAACCGTTCACCTTGATGGTAGGGTGCTGCTTCAGCTACATTTGTTCTGTATAGTTGCTGAGCCTCAGAGAGAGGCAGTCAGGAGCTCATCTGGAATGTCCATATTTTCCACAGGTGTCTCTGTGTAGGTTTGTGGTAAGGTTCTGCCCCCTACTCTGCAGTCTGGACACGGAGGATATCAAAAGAAGGGATCTGGGAAACAAGGCCATGCCCCAGGAATTTGACTCCAAGCCATATATCTGCTCTTTGAAAACTGAGCTCAATCCCCAGTCCCTAGAGAAAGGGTTCCCAGTAGGAGGCACCAGAATGTGATGGAGAAAAACTCAAGGAATGGAATGTTAGAAATGGGGGAAAAAACTGCACTTATCTCTCTAATTAGAGAAGAGAAAAAAAAACATTCATAGAAAAGATCCCCTTTCATTAGTGAAAGCAAAGCCACCACCAGCTGATGAAAGCCATCCAGGGCACTGATACTTTTCCATACATGTACATTTGAGGATAAGCTAAGAATTCAGTATGAATTATTTTTTTAAAAGTTTATTCAAAGCCTGAGCACAGTATTTAAATAGGAGGAAGTTTATAGGAGTAATAGTAATGTAAAAATTACTTGAGACAAGAAATAATTTTTATAATGTTTTGACAACAATGAGAGAGAGAGAGAGAGAGTGAGAGAGAGAGAGAGAGAGAGAGAGAGAGAGAGAGAGAGAGAGAGAGAGAGTGTGTGTGTGTGTGTGTGTGCTTCAGCTGACACCAGGCTGACTGGGAAGTTTGACTTGGACCAGATGAAACTAGATTGAGTTGGTTTTCCCATGTTTAGTTAGTTCTCTGTTAGTGCAGTGGAGTGATGGAATTTTGTGCCATGCGCACAGATTTCAGAGCTCTCTTTTTTTGTATTTTTAATTCTGTGAATTTTGAGAAAAGATATTCCTCCAAGGGAATGTGCAAAAGTTGAAGCTACTAAAGGACTATGAGAGATATCGCAGTGCCCATTGGTGTGGGAAAGTCAAGCATTGGAAAGATCATTCAAGCCCAAAGTGAGACAAGATTAGTTTCTCCAAAGCACAAAGGAAGTGCAGTCAAAAATGACAAACAGTGGAAAGAACTTGCAAACTATTGCCATGCAATAACCCAATTAATCCTCAGGAAAAAAAAAAAAAAAGCAAAGGCCGTCAGAAGGACCTGACAGCTGGACAGTGCTATTGATTTCTCCTTAAGCAGAGGGGGTGTCTTGGTGTTACAATAACAGTGAGATCAATTTTTTGTAAAGTTGCCAACTGTTGCTACGAAGAAAAGTGCCCTTCATGGGCAAGAGAATACAAAACTGGAGCACTGGAGATTGGGAAAAGGTCATTCTTACCAATGAAACTCAGGTTTTCATTCAAGGCCACTGTTAGAAGTCCATGTGAGACTATCCAACATGTGTTTTTTCTCCATTAGATTAAAAAATATCCACACAAAAACAGTTTTGAGGATTTTTTTTTAACTTCCAACCAAACTCTAAGTCTTGTCCCATTGAAGGAATGATAAACTCTGATAAATATATTGATATACTTAAAAGCAGGATTATTCTGGAATTACAGAAATTCACAAATGGAGGTGTAACACTGCAACTAACAACGGACTTGTACCATCACATATATCACAAAAGGTTGAGAAATTTATCCAAGAAATAAAGATGAGCTTACATCAATGGCCTTTAATTAACTTCCCTGATTTAAAACTTATTGAAATCCTATGGGATATAGTTTCTAGACTTGGAAAAATAGACTTCCATCAAAGGTAGATGTAATATTCAATAATGAATGGTTTCATGATGAAAAAATAAAGAATATACATTCAATCTTGCAAGGGAAATGTCAAATCATGGAAAACAGGTGATTTTAGCAAAAGGGGAATATATATTAAAAATTTTTCCTTTAATGTAAAAAGTTGAAAGGCTTACTGTAAATCTTAATAATTCACTCACCACTATAGAATTAGTGAAAAAATACCTATACATTTCAATTTTTTCAGGCTTAGTTTTATAAGAATTGCATGCTATTTAATGTTTGTTTCAGTTTTGATTTTTAAAAAGTGATGGGAAAATGACCATGATTTAGGTCTACTGCCAATTGGAAGCAGTATATTACAATTTAGGAAAAGTATGTAAGGCAGTGTGGATGGGGGTAAAACTCCCTTTTAAAGGCTGAACCTACAAACCAAAAAGTAATAAGGTTACTTCAAAGGAGAGCACAAGAGAAGATGAAGGGAAGGAGTGAGTCATTGTTTGTCCATGGTGCTGCAAAGCAATCTTCAAGCTAGCATGGGCCCAAAGCAAATTTTTACCAGCTTATAAAACTTTTATTAATGTAAAGTCCTTAATTCTTAAAAACTTATAAGCTCAAAAAACTTATCCTCCTTCTCTTTGTATCTTGTTCCTACTATCCTCAACATTGTGCTCCTCCTCCTCCTCCGCCTCCCTGATTCCTAGTTTCCATCCCCAATGGCAGATAATTTTTAGATATTTAACAATCTATAGCAATGGTTCTCAAATTTTTTTTATCCAAAGATGCCTTTACACTCCTAAAAATTCTTTGAGTATCCTCCAAAGACTTTTTGTTTAGGTGGATTATATCTAGCAAAATTAACTGTATTATAAATTAAAACATATTAGCATTGTTATGAGGATAATGTTAACTTCACAGACTCCTTGAAAGGGTTTCAGAAACCTGCCCCCCTCCTGCCCTGTTAATGATACTTTGAGAACCAATGGTCTATAGTATAATCTCGGTTGGAAAACACTGCTCTTCAGAACCACACAGTTATCACAACATTGTGTGATGATCAGCTATGATAGACTTAGCTCTTCTCAGCAACGCAATGATCTAAGACAATTCTGAAAGACTCATGACAGAAAATACTATCCATATCCAAAGGGAAAAAAAAACTATGGAATCCAAATGCAGATCGAAGTATATAATTTTCACTTTTTTTGATTGTTTTTTCTTTCTCATGGTTTTCCTTTTTTGTTCTGATGCTTCTTTCACAACATGACTAATGTGGAAACATGTTTAACATGATTGCACATGAATAACCTATATCAGATTGCTTGTTGTCTTGGGGATGGGGGAGAGAAGAGAGGAAGGGAGAAAAATTTGGAACTCAAAATCTTACAAAAATGAATGTTGAAATCTATCTTTACATGTAATTGGAAAAAATACTGTTAGAGAAAAGAAAGAAAAGAAAAACACTGCTGTTAAGGAATGAGCTGTTTGCTGAGATAAAAGAGACCTGAACTGTAGCCTTGCCTTCACCATAATTTTGTTGTGGGTCAGTAATAATTAATATTAATGATAGCATACATACACATAATATACATATATACATACATATCATGTATATACATACAAATATATGCATATATATACCTCATTTGATCCACACGATCCTGTGATGTAGGTGCTATTATTGATGTAGAGAGGCTAAGTGACTTTTCCAGAGTAACAAAGGATTAAGTGTCTGAGGTAGGATTCAAACTCAGGTCTTCCTGACACCCCTCCCCCCCAAGACCAGTATTCTAGCCTCTCTGGCTTTTAATTTTGTCGTCTATAAAATGGAAAGAATCATTATTGCATCACAGAGGTCTGGTAAGATGAGATGTCATATTGGCATCGTGTATATAAAAGCATCTTAATGAATTAAGAGCACCACAGAAATGTAAAAGATTCTTCACTGCAAAGTCCAATCACAAGAAAGCAATGCTTCCTTAGCAACAAAGCTATCACGGCCGCACGCGGCCGCCCTGCCATAGCCACTTCTCCCCATCTCTCTCCTTACCTTCTCAGCATCCTGCTCAAAGAGCCGTAGCTGGAAGCACTGGTCCAGTTTGAGTTTGCGCACATGCCACATCTGGTGCAGGTGTTGCCGGGTAGAGTGCAATTTGTCCAGGAGGCTGGTGATCTTGGGGACAAGGCTCTGGAAGTCAGCACTGCCTGGGATGCAGTTGCGTCCCGAGAAGCCATCGCTGCAGCGAATGCACTGAAGCAGCCGCTGCCCTTCCCTGTCCAACTCCTCTACGGGGGCCTTCAGCACCTTCTTCTTGAGCTGCGTGTGTTCGTCAATGAGTCGCCGAGAGCCTTCCACATCCACCGGGAACTCCTTGCGGGCCAACATCTCCTGAAGGTCCTCAAGGCGGGAGAGCAGATGAACAGCACTGTTGAAGAACTCCTCCAGAGAGACCCGGAGGTCTATCCACTCGTCATGGTTGTAGTCTAGGGAGCCTTCAAATTCCTCTGTCAGCTGGGAGGGGTCCACCAGCTTAGCCAGACCTTCCACTGACACCATGCTTGTCTGGAGACATGTGGAGAGAGAGAAGCAGAATGACATAGACAGATCGGCGCCAGGGCCAAGGGGAGGAGAGATGAGGCAAAGACAGTCATGAGAACAACTCACATTTAGATAGCACCACGAGGTTTGCAAAGGCTATGTGTACATCATTTCACTTGTATGCTCCTTAAGAATAAGGACTCTGTATATATGTATGTGTGTGTATGTGTGCAGTGTGGATGGTGAGTGTGGATGTGTGCACATGTATGGTGTGCATACGTGAATGGATGGGTACATGTGTGTGAGCGTGGATGTGTATGTATGTGTGTGTGCTGTTTATGTGCAGTGTGTTTCCCTTTCTTTGAATCCCCAGCGTAGTTCTTGGCAAACAGTAAGAATTTCATGTTTGGTTACTGGTCCTCACAGCAATCCCACAAATTAGGTACTATTGTAATATTCATTTTGCAGATAAGAAAACTGAGACCCAAAAAGGTTAAATTAATTATCTGGGGTCACACAGCTAAGAACTGTCTGGAATGGGATTACAACCAGCCCCCCAAGACTCCAAGTCCACTGATTTACACTCTTACCGCTAAAATGGGATCTATATCCACATCCAGATAAAGAACTGATGGACTCTGAATGCAGACAGAAGCACACTTTTTTCACTTTATTCTTTCTGCTGTTTTTTTTTTCTTTTGATCTTTCTCCTTTCACAACTTTGACTAAAATGGAAGTATATTTTACATGACAGCACATGTATAACCTATATCAAATTGACTACCATTTTTGGAAGAGGTGAAGGGAGAGAGAAAAATTTGGAACTCAAAATCTTGTAAAAATGAATGCTAAAAATTGTCTTGCCATGTAATTGGGAAAAATAAAATATTATTTTTTAAAAATGGGATATATAAAAACAAAAAAGAAGAAAGAACCAAAAGAAACAAGCAAATGGGGCCAAGAGGATCTCAATCTATATCCATCTTTTGACTAGAAAGGAAGATGACATCGGGGGATTGTGGGACTTATTGGTCCCAAAGGCAAATACAGTCAATTCTCTTTAGGTCAGTCAATCAAGAGGCATTTTGCCAGGCTCTGTGCTAAGCACTGGGGACACAAAGAAAGGAAATCAAAAAGAAAATCAGCTCTGCCTTCAAGGAGCTTACATTCTAATGGGGGAAACAATGTGTAAACAACCATTTACACATTAGAAGATATACAGAGACAAAAGTCACTCAGGATGTTTGGAGACTAGCAGACAAACTCCAAAGCTCTCAGTCTAATTGTATCTTAACAAGTTTGAATATCCCTTTGAATATCTCCTGTCCCTCTCCCCTGCCTGAATGGGGCCAAGGCTTCTATTAAGAAGAGCAGAAATGTGGATAAGCCCAGCTCCAGGGCCAAGGTAGAAAGAAAGCTGGATTTGGAGTTCCTCAGAAGTAAATTCAAATCCTGGCTCTGCCATTCAATACTCATGTGACCTCGGACAAATCACTTAATTTATTAGGGCCTCAGTTTCCTCAACTATAAAATGAGGAGGTTGGACTGTTGTCCAGTCATAGACAGTCATGTCCAACTCCTTGTGATCCCATATTTGGGGTTTTCTTGGCAGAGATACTGCAATGGTTTGCCATTCCCTTTTCCAGCTCATTTTACACACGAGGAAACTGACACAAACAGGGTTAAGTGACTTGCCCAGGGTCACACAGCTAATAAGTGTCTGAGGCCAGATTCGAACTCAGGAAGATGAGTCTTCCTGACTTGAGGCCTGTCATTCTATCTACTGCTTGACCTAGCTTCCCCTGAAGGTTGAACTACATAGCCTCAAACATACCTTCCATCTCTAAATCTAATTCTTCCTTGCTGATTTTTATTAAACTCCAGATTTACTGGCCCAATTTAATATGGACATCTAAATTAAGTAAAGCAGATTCAAGGAAATCATAGCTACTTGGACGAGATGATTCCAGAAATCAAATCATCCATCCCTTTGACTCAGGGCAGTGCACCTTCTCCAAATCCCTCCTAATCTATGAGATCCCCACCCTGGGAAATCAGATGCCCCGGGCCTCTATTGCCTCTTTTCTGTTTTCCTTCTGTTTGCAAGAGGCAAAGTGATACTGTGAATAGAACCAGTGACTGGAATCCACAAAGGCCTGCTTTTCTTAGAGAACCTATCTGTAGGTCTCAGGTTCTCTGGGGGCAGACTGGAAGTCACACTCTCCCCATGAGAACCAGGAATCCTGAGATAGAAAGTTCCAAACAGCCCTGTAAATACCCTACATGCTGAGCCAGGGGCTGTACTCCCACTCCTTCCTTCCTTTCTTCAGTGAAGCTGCAGGCTGCTCCTCCTCCCCCCAAAAAAGGAAACAGTTGCTAAAGATACTCCTGAAGATTACATCAGTAGCTTGAATCCTTAACACTGCAGCTACTCTCCTGCTGTTTATTACATCACAGGGATTGGATGGGCCAGCTAGGTGGCACAGTGGATGGAGCTCTGGGCCTGAAGTCAGGAAGACCTGAGTTCAAATCTGGTCTCAGACGTTTACTAGCTTAGCTGTATGAGCCTGGGCAAGTCATTCAACCCTGTTTGCCTCAGTTTCCTCATCTGTAAAATAACCCGTAGAAGGAAATGGCAAACCACTCAGTATCTTTGCCAAGAAAACCCCAGATGGGATCATGAAGAGTCAGACATATTGCAAATGACTGAACAACAACAGAGATTGGTCACCAGAGGGTCAAAAACAATCTCCGCGCCCCCCCCCGTACATTAATAACACTTTGTTCATTGCTTTCCTAGACATTTATCATTTTTCATTTTGTATTATACTCCTTGTATACCTGCATTATCTCACTATGAGATAATAGCCAAGGTCTCACAGGTATTATCTTACTTTTAACATGAAAACTTTACTGACCCCAAAGCATTTTGTCCCCTCCTTCACTAACTACCTTGTATTTATCAGCTTGGTATTTGTTTTCTATTTATTCTGTATATACTTATGTCTCCTCTGATCGATTGCAGACTTTTAAGAGTTTGGATTGTTTCAATCTTTGTCTGGGTATCTTCAGCACCAGCACAGTGCCTGGTACTTAGTAAGGTACTCAATATTTTTTTAAATTAATTGAGATCAGCAGCATTGTCTTAACCCCCCACCCCAGCACAGGCTTTGCTGAGAGACGGCTAGAGTGCTGGAGTGGAAGTCAAGAAAACCTGTATTCAATCCTATCTCTAAAATTCTTAGCTCTATCACATGGGCACGTCCCATAAACTCTATGCCTCAGTTTCCTAATCCATAAAACAAGGATATAAGTAGGGCTTGGTTTTTTGGGGACCTTATCAATGATTTTAGTGGAATAGGGAGGGTCTGGGCAAGCAGACATCCTTCTAGGCCATTGGAATTTGAGCTCTTTGATGTCAGGGACCACGTTTTCACCTTACTTGTTGACTGACCAGTGTAGATGAATAAGGTTCTGAAACTCATAGTCTTATACAGAGTTGCCAGGGGCATGAGGAGATTAAGTGACTCATCCAGGCTCACATAACTAGTATATGTTAGAGGCAGGAATTTCACTCAGATCTTACTAACTTTGAGACTGGTTCTCTATCCATTATACCAGGCTTCCTTCTATAATACTTAATACTAATATTATGTGTGAAAGTATATGGCTCTCAGGAGAACATTGTACAGTGATGATCAACTGTGAAAGACTTAGCTACTCTGATCAAGAAAATGATCCAAGATGATTCCAAAAGACTCATTCTATTCACCTCCAGGGAGAGAAGTGATGAACTCTGAGTGCAGATTGAAGCATATTTTTTCCACTTTCTTTATTCTTCTTGTTTCTTTTTTTCTTGTCTTTTCTTTTACAACATGGCTAATATGGAAATATGTTTAACATGACTTCACATGTATAATCAATATCATATTGTTTGCCTTCTCAAGGGGTGAGGGAGGGGCAGGAGAGAGGGAGAGAATTTGGAACTCAAAATTTTAAAAAATGAATGCTAAAATGTTTTAAAATATAATTGGGAAATATTTAATGAAATAAAAAATATATTTTAAAGTGTATGGTTCTTTAAGGTACGAGAAGTGCTTTGTATACATTCTTGTTTAACTTCCTTCAAAGGAAATTCAAAAGAGACAGTGTCTACAAAGCATCATTGCAAACTTTTAAAGCCCTATGTAACTATTGGCTTTTTAAAAAATTATTATTATTATTCAGCAGGGACACAACAAAGGCTTGTGACCAGTTGCTATGATCTGTTAGCCTAACTCCCATTAGACCTTTTCAAGACTGCCTTCCATTGTTAAATCTGTATCAGCTGACAACTCCATATTAAATGCATCTACCAAAGACTTCTCTAATACTTCACCAGGGCATGGACATAATTTTGGTTTCCTGATGGCTATGATGGTGGAATACAAATCCTGGTTGGTCCTACCAAGCTCAAAAAGGTTCCACATAAATGGACTGTGTGTCTATCACCATGAGGATGGGTGTAGGCAATCAAAGGGAAGAATAGTCAAAGGATTGGCTACCACCTGATGAAATACTCTGCCAGTTAAGGCACTAGACCAGTGGAAGGTCACATGTGACCCTCTAGGTCCTCAAGTGTGGCTCTTTGACCGAATCTAAATTTCACAGAACAAGTTTGGATTCAATCAAAAGGCTGCACTTGAGGACCTAGAGGACCACAGGTGACCTCGAGGCTGCAGGTTCCCCAACCCTGTGCTAGACTAAATCAACAGCTAAGGCATAGAAGGGTTGCTGCTTGCATCAGTAGAAGGACTGTCCTTGCTAAGGAAATCATAGATCCTTGACATATAGAAGTATTAAGTAGCCTTTTGCTTTATATACGCTCAACACTTAAAGATTCTGCTTGTCCTGTATGTTTTTAATGTGTGCTAACTTGTTTTCTAAGGATCTGTTTCCCCCAATGGAATGTCAACTCCTTGAGAGCAGGCACTGTTTCATTTTTGACTTGGTATGCTAAGAAAGCCCCTAAAGAGTTGGACACAAGGGGCAGCTAGGTGGTACAGTGGATAGAGCACCGGTCCTGGATTCAGGAGGACCTGGGTTCAAATCCGGCCTCAGACACATAACACTTACTAGCTGTGTGACCCTGAGCAAGTCACTTAACCCCATTGCCTAGCCAGAAAAAAAAAAGAGTTGGACACAACTGAAACAACTCAACAACAACAATAACAACAACAATAACAACAACAACAACACCCAGCACCTGCCCAAAGGGCTTAGTAAAGGCTTGTGGATTGACTGGTTTGGTGGTCGACTGATTTTCTGCCCGCTATAGCATTTTCTCCTTTCCTGAGCGGGAGGTTGCGAGGTAGTCTTCCTTTAGAGTCTAGGACAGGCTTGCCCTAAGGAAAGGCCAGGTAGTTAAACCTTTTTATTAAGTTTCGTGATTTACCAGAAAGGTCATCTCCAGTGTTTTTAGCTCATAAATTCCAGTCTAATGCCATAGATCTTGTTTGTACAAGATGGAAGGAGGGGGGAGGTTAGGACAGAAGTCTCCTTCAGTGCTCCCGTGTTTTACCTAAGGTGATTGATTGGGGGCTATGGGAAGGGGGCTCCATGATTTCTGCACGAAGTCACCTAACCCATTGCTTTAGTTACACCTAGAGCCATCATCCTACCAGAGTCAGCCTCGACAGCAGCACAGTTCACATTTTCTTACTGCCCTTAGAGGATGGAAAGCTGCTGACAGATTAATAGCAGTTCTCAGAGCCTTTTAAAAAGAAAATACACGTGAAATCTCCTCTACCCACTGGGGAGAGAGGAAGGTCAAGAGGAGCCTAAGACCCAGAATTCTGAGAGAGGCGAACGTCCCAGAGTGAGAGGCAGAATAAATGCTTGATGAATTGACTTAAGTTGGCGTGGCATTCATTCAAAATCCTCAGGCCCCATGGCAAGGGATTCATGAGCCCTCTGGGGATAGCTAACTTTAGACAAAAACTTGACTCTTGAAATCCCCCCAACTCTATAGTATGCAGAGTACTACTGGAAGACCTGGGTTCAAATCCCACCTCTGACTCTTAACTAGGTGAGTGATCCTGGGCAAGTAACTACTTGCCTCAGTTTCCTCCTTTGAAAAATGGAAAAAATAGGGGCAGCTAGGTGGTGCAGTGGATACAGCACTGGCCCTGAAGTCAGGAGGACCTGAGTTCAAATCTGGCCTCAGACCAAACACTTGACACTTACTAGCTGTGTGACCCTGGGCAAGTCACTTAACCCCAATTGCCTAAAAAAAAAAAAAAGAAAGAAAGAAAGAAAGAAAACAATGGAAAAAATACCACCTACCCTCACGGGGTTATTGTGAGGATCTAATGAGGTAATATAATAAGTCATTTTCAAACCTTAAAAGCTCTACGTAAATGTGAGCTATTATTATTATGCCTAGCTCCTCCCCACTGAGCTAGGGACTCTTTCTACAAAACCTTTGTATGTTGTAATTCATGTAAGAAGACTAAAGGAAAAAATATTGACACAATGGCCAAAAAAATGTGAGGGAAAACAACATTGAAAGGCATCAGAATTCAGATCAGTGTGGTAACTGATCTTGAATCCAGAGGCATGAAAGTGAAACTTGTCTCTCTTTTTTCAGCAGAGAGGTGGTGGACTTTGGGTTTAGAATATGGTATGCATCATTAGATAGAGTTAAGATGTTGGTTTGGTTTTTATGATTATACTTCTTTGTTAAAGGGGAAGGGGTGTGTAGAAGGAAGGAAGGAAAGGGAGAAGGAAGGGAGGGTGGGAGGAAGAGATAAAGAGAGAAAGAAAGAAAGAAAAAGACAGAAAGACAGAAAGGAAGGAAAGAAGAGAAGAAGAAAGAAGAAGAAGAAGAAGAAGAAGAAGAAAAGAAGAAGAAGAAGAAGAAGAAGAAGAAGAAGAAGAAGGAAAGAAAGAAAGAAAGAAAGAAAGAAAGAAAGAAAGAAAGAAAGAAAGAAAGAAAGAAAGAAAGAAAGAGGAAGAAAGGAGAAAGGAAAGAAAGATGGAAGAGAGAAAGAAAGGAAGGAAGAAAGGCGAGAGAGAGAGAGAGAGATTTAAAGGACTGATGAGAAGGAAAGAGGTAAAGTAGAGTTGGGGCCAAGGTGCTATGGAGAGGACAAGAAAAACCATAAATGTCATGAGAGAAACAACTTCTCACCTCAAAGATAAATTTGGAGCTTCCAAAGTTGGTTTTCTGCTTCTGCCAGAAGTTGTCGGGTTTGATGATGAGGGCCACATGGATCTCCGCAGGGAAGGCCTCCTGCAGTGTCTTCAGCAGGGGCTTGATGAGGTCCCACTTGGAGCCCCTCATGTCGATGATAACAGTGAAGCCACGTTTGCACACGTCCTCACTGCAGGGAAGGAAGTAGGGCAGATTACTCACTCCAGCTGGAACAAGAGGGAGGGGCACCTCAAGCTGCTACAGTTCTGAGTGGCCATACCTGGCCAGTCTGGGGTAATGAAGACTTTTAAATTTCCCTGACCTTGGAAAAGCAACACTGTTTAGTGGATAGAGCACTGGACTTGGAGTCAGGAAGACCTGAGTTCAAATCCATCCTCAGATACTTATTTGCTGTGTGACCCTGGGCAAGTCACTTAACCTCAGTGTGCCTCAGCTTCTTTAGCTATAAGATGAGGGGGTTAGACTAGATAGCTTTTGAGATCCCTTCCAGCTCCCAAATGTCCCTCTTCCAGGAAGCAATCCAAGATTGATTTCATCTCACCAACCACTCGCTCTACTTTTTCCAGGCACTCAAGGCCTTAGTTTGTGTGGCCTTCTGGCCTTTGCCATTATGTTTCATTATAAGTGTTCATAAGTGTTGTTGTTACTAAGTCTGTGTACGTGTGCGTACGTACTTCTAATTCTACTCGCTTGATTTCTACCATTCTTTCTGTGAAGAAATCTAAATCTCTAGCCCAGACCTTTCCCCCAATTCCTGCTCTTCATGTCCTTGAGGGCCAGCACTCTCTACTACAACCTGAACTTGGCATTGATCTCCAAACTCCCCGTTCAGTCATAGAATCACAGACCTGGAAGGCACCTTCCGAGCCATCTCATCCAATCTCTTCATTTTACAGGTGAGGAGGCCTAGGCCAAGAGAGGAGAACAGACTCATCCCAGGTCACACAGCTAGTAAAGTAACAGAGTAGGAATTTGAACTGGGCTCCTCTGATTCCCAAACAAGATGGTGTCCTTTCCCTTGCACCAATGTGCCCCCCTAGCCTTCTGAGTCCTTGTTTCTGTTCATAATACCTACCTTCTACCAGTCCTATAAATCAAAATCAACTATGATTTGTGTCTCTCCTCTACACCCAATTAGTTGCCAAGCCCCATCAATTCTACCCGAGTAATGTCTCTTGCACCCAGCTCCTTTCTGATGGGGTTCTGGCCCTTACTATCTTTTCCTTCAGACCAAATACAAGAGCTCTTGTTTAGTCTAGAATTGAGACAATAGCTAAGGTCTTTGTCTGCCTCTGAAATTGTGACTCAACATGGTTTGGGTTTTTTTTTTTTAAGGTAATTGGGGTTAAGTGACTTGCCCAGGATCACACAACTAGTAAGTGTCAAGTGTTTGGTCTGAGGCCGAATTTGAACTCAGGTCCTCCTGACTTCAGGGCGGTGCTCTATCCACTGCGCCACCTAGCTGCCCCTTGACTCAACATGTTTAAGAGCCTCTTAACTGGACTCCCTACCTTGAGTCTCCCATTCCCTAACCCAATCAATTCAATTTAATAAGCATTTATTAAGTGCCTACTATGTGCCAGGTGGGCAGCTAACTGGTGCAGTGGATAGAGTGCCAGGCCTGGAGTGTGGAGGACCTGAATTCAAATGTGACCTCAGATGCTTCCTAGCTGGGTGACCCTGGGCAAGTCACTTAACCCTGTTTGCCTCAGTTTCCTCATCTGTAAAAAGAGCTGGAGAAGGAAATGGCAAATCACTCCAGTATCTTTGCCAAGAAAACCCAAGATGGGATCATGAAGAGTTAGACATGACTGACTGACTAAACAAACAACAAAATGTACCAGGCACAGTGCTAAGCACTAGGGATATGAAAAGAGGCAAAATCAGTCAAATTTACTCGACACGCCACTGCTGTGTTGATCTTCCTACACTAAATGATTCCCTTACCAAAAATTCTTTCAGAGTTCCCTGATGCCTACCAAATACAGCCAAAATTCTTTAGACTGACATTCAAGTCTCAGTACAATAGAGCCCTAAAGCACCTTACCATCTATATTTCAGGAGGGAATGTTATATACTGAGAAAAGTCTGGAAGTCTTGGCTTTCAATGTGGCACTGACATTTACTAGCTGTGTGGCCTTTAACTATGTTGCTGTGGTGCTCGTGTCCTGTTAAAGACCTAGAAGGAGTCACTAGCCCTTGCACTGAACCTTTAGAGAAGATTTGTTGGCCAGCATGGACAAAACTCATGCAAGATGAGAAGGTGTGGGGAGGGTTCTGAACTTTATCGTTGAAGGAAGTCTCGTATTGTGAGATCGCAGGTCCCCTGCAGTATTGCCCACCATTCCCCTATGTATATTCTATGAACTAACCCAAATGGATCACATGATATTCTTTTAATATTTTTGGGTTTCCTACTTCCTCACTTTTGCTTGCGCTGTTCCCACTACCAAGATTGCCCTTCCCCCATGCCTATTATTTAAATCTTACCTTCAAGGGCCATCCTAAATATCACCTCCTTCATGAAGCCTCTCCTGATCTCCCTTATTTAGATGTAATCTCTCCCATCCTTGGAACTACTCAGCATTTTATGCCTCTTTTAAAGTACTTATCACATTCTATGTATTGAAGTTATTTTGTGTACTTGTATCACCTGCCTTGCTAGACTGTGAGTTCCTTAAGAACAGGGACTGTCTTTCTCACCTTTGTCTCATTCACGCTACCTGCCTTTCTAGAACAGTGCCTTCTATAGAGTAAGTGCTCAGAATTACTCCTAAATTAAATTGAATGCCTGCCCTATGAAGAAATCTGTTCTTGTTTAATTTATAATTATCATGTTCACTAGCCTAATTATGTTTAACCTATGCTCATTAAATTCACAATATCTAGCTTCTTTCAAGTAAAAGGTTCCCAAAGAAACAAAACCGAACACTTTGTAGTTATATTGACCAAGTGTGTTCCTAAAGAAGAGATGAAAAGATGCATCTTCTTTCAGTTTTTTGCAGAGGCGATGGATTGTGAGTATGGTACGTTGCCTATAGAATCAGACTTGTTTGATGTGTTGGTTAGTTTTATAGAACTGTTCTTTTTCTTCTTGTCTTTCCTTTTAATTTCTTCCTTTCTTCCTTCCTTCCTTCCTTCCTTCCTTCCTTCCTTCCTTCCTTCCTTCCTTCCTTCCTTCCTTCCTTTTTTTCTTTCCTTCTACAAAGGATCACTTACCAAGTAGGAAAGTGAGGAGGGATTAATTCAGAAATGAAGATAATATAAAATAAATCAATACAGTAACTTTTAAAAATCAGATACGAGATAGAAACATACTAATTTTGTTCAATGTGTTATGCGCTGAGCCCCCTTCTTTTGAGATGTGGTATAGTCTAAGCATTAGACTTGGGATCAGGAAGATTTAGTTTTGACTCTCCCACCCAATACAATGATAGGATCATAGTTTTATATCTGCAAGGGACTTCAGAGGTCATCTAACACCACCAACACCTCCTCATTTTGTAGATAAGGAAACTGAAGCCTTGGGCTAGCTATGTTCCCTGGGCCTCAGTTTCCCCATCTGTAAAATGAGGGGATTTGATTCAATGACATCTAAAGTCCCTTCTAGATTTAAATCTGTAATCCCATGAGATGGGACATTGGAAGAGAGTCCTACTAATAAAATTCAGAGAGGCACTAGGCTAGATGTGACTAGAGCTCTCAATACCACTCCCTTCCTTAATTATGGTTATGGACTGGGGAACAGCACTAGCCACAAACCCTTTACTCAAACACCTGTGCCCACCCCCACAAATGACAATGAGCAGAACCAAGACCGTGAGTATCATTTATGCTACGCCACGCCTCCCGCCCTACCTCATCTTCCCTGGTAGTACACACTCCACTTCTTCTTGCCATGCAATCTCTCTCCACTATGTCCATAAAATTTTACCAAATGCTCTCTTACTATCAATTACCAGCAAGTTTCCATATACACCCACTTGCCCTGTACCTACCCTCTGATTCCCTTAAATAGTGGCCTCAAGGCCACATGTGGCCCTTTAGGTCCTCAAGTGCAGCCCTTTGACCGATTCCAAACTTCACAGAACAAATCCTACCCCTGGCCTATGCCATCTGTCTGCCCTTGCCACAGCTGTAGCCAGAGTGCAACCCAACCTGCACATGTACCACCTTTCTTCCTCTGAGGCCCTGCCTGCCCCTCAGACCTGCCTGAAAAAAAGAGAAAGGCTAAGAAGGCATGGTCAAGTTGTGGCTGTCATTGCCTATGTAACAAAGTCATCATTTCTAAACTCCTTAGGATACTCTTTGCCTAGGAGATAGGATGACAACCAAGAATCACCTACCCAGCAAAATCCTTCAGGGGAAAAAATGGTCCTTCAGTGAAATAGAGGACTTTCAAGCATTCCTGATGAAAAGACCAGAGCTGAATAAAAAATTTGACTTTCAAATACAGGACTCCAGTGGAACATGAAGAGGTAAACAGGAAAGAGAAATCATAAGAGACTTATTAAGATTGAACTGTTTACATTCCTGCATGGAAAGATGATATTTATAACTCATGAGACCTTTGTCAGTATTAGGGTAGTTGAAGGAAAAAAATTGTATGTATGTATAGATAGATAGATAAATAGATAGAGGGCACAGGGTGAGTTGAAGATTAAGGGGTCATATCTGGAGAATAAAATTAAGGGATGAGAGAGGATGATACTCGGAGAAGAAAGGGAGAGGTAGAATGGGGTAAATTATCTCACAAAAAAAAAACCCAGAAAAGAAAAGTCTCTGACAGTGGAGGGGAAACGGGGGAAGGTGAGAGGGAATGAGGGAATCTTGTTCTCATAGGATTTGGCTTAAGGAGGGAATAACATACACATTCAATTGGGTATGGAAATCTGTCTTACCCTACAGGAAAATAGGGGGAGAAGGGGACAAGAGAGCAGGGGGTGATAGAGAGGAGGGCAGATTGGGAAAGAGGGTAATCAGAAGCAAATACTTCTGAGGAGGGACAGGGTCAAAAGAAAGAATAGAATAAATGGGAGGGCAGGATAGGATTAAGGGAAATAGAGTTAGTTTTTCACAACATGTCTACTAAGGAAGTGTTTTGCATAACTGCACATGTACAACCTATATTGAGTTGCTTGCCTTTTCAATGAGGGTAGGTGGGGAGGG